GCTTACGAACCCGAATACAAATGTTTTCAGCATGTTTGGACCAAGAAAGATTGTGTGACAAGGTAACTCCAAGATATTTCACAGAGTTAGCTTTGGGGATGGTATTACCATTAACAGAAAGTTCAGGCTGATTATTCAAAAGGTTTTGATAAGGCATGCCTGTTTTAAGACTAAAAGAAACATCCACACATTTATCTACATTTAGCAATAAAGATCGGGGAGTCGACCAACTAAAAATGTTATTGAGACAAACTTGAAGTTGAGAGAAACAATTAGGAACAGTTGAGGGACAGCCAACCACCACATCATCAGCATACTTGCAGGCGATAAAGTTGGGAGGGATGGGAAGGTCCTTAATGTACAGTGAAAAAAGAAATGGAGACAAAATTGCACCCTGAAAAACTCCAGAGTTAACTTCTAGCAGGGAGGACGATTTACGATTTACAAAAAGTGTATTGCGTCCGATCCATCATCATCCCGTTTTTTCTACTGATAAAATGCTTTCGGAAACAATCAGCGAGTGTTTCATCCTCGTAAGAAGTCATTTACCGTTCACATCAATCATCTTCCAGGTTGAAATAGCAAACAGTCAGCAATTGGTCGGTTGGAAACACTGAAGGACATGGTAACGACACAACTACAGTGGCGTTGTCTTTGTCGTTTCCTATCTCACCGGAATGTTTCAGGAAGTGTGAGTATGTACCACCCTGTTGGCCCTCAACAGTTTGCCTAGGGTCGTGAGGCTCATCGTCTCGTCCAGTAAATGGTTCATTTTCACTCTGTACAACCGATCACCTTGTACTTCCAAGTTCTGGCCTTGATTCCTACCTCTTATCCACCTCTTTTGGTTAAGCGCGATAGAAGAAGGATAAAAAGCTGAGAGCAGTACCAAAATAAAAATGTTCCCTAGATTGTTACCGGTGTCGCTACTTTCGTATTGTACAAAACTTCTCCTGACGCTGATCGACTTCCGGGCCCATGACTTCTTACAACGGTCCCGCCAAGGCTGAGCAAGAAATCCGCTCCTACCAAACATGGATTTGTGCATCTGAAGTGATTTCATTGGTTTCGGATTTTTGAGAGTCGGTCTAAGTACTTACTCATGACGCTAGCTACACTTATCAGTTCATGTAGGTAGCGGTGCTCGATTTTGCATATATATCCCCGCATGAGGGCGGTCACACTCAGTCACTGTGGCGTTAACGAAGACCCGTCCGCCTGGAGCTTTCGATATCGTCAATTACTGAACAATAAGAGGTCTTTCGGTCCTTTTCCAGTCACCTTTTATACCTGTCTGCAGGGGGTAAACTTTTATTGTGGCGCTGGCGTAGGCTAACACAGATAGAGATATCAGTGTAAACTTAAGCTCGGTTCCAGCAAGCTGTTCTGTCAACGGATTTATGTTCACTGGAAGTGAAGCTGAGTGAATAATACCAGCGGTACAGCACAACTGTCAATCTCAACAAAGACAGAAAACCTCGGCTCTCACATTTTTATTTATACTCCCTCTATCCACGCCCAGTTGATCAAGCCACTTAACGATGTACACCGACTTTGCACATTTCGTCAATGAAGAAAATAAATGCATTCAAATACAATGGAAATGGTTGTGATGACCGACAAAGAGCGCACTGGACAGCTGTTTCGTCTTGTTTTGGGGACTCGTCAGCAGTACGCACTTTTTGTGTCTCCGTGTCAGGACTCGAACCGCGAGCATTCGGGTGGGGACTCCAAACCTCTACCCCTGAGCTATACGGTCGACGATCATCATCTTGTGCAAATGGTTTAATCAATTTAGAGTATCAAGCTTGGATTAACCCACTCAATTGTTCAGAGGCACCAAGCACTCTTGATGGTCTTCGGTGTGGGTTTCACTCCTTGGGAGATAGTTAATTGCCCTCTAGTTGAGTGCATCTAAATGCGAAGGAAATGTTGGGATAAGCGAGTGCCTGGTGCCTCTGACCAATCGAATGGGCTAATCCAAACTCTAAGAAGAAAATAAATATCTTTGCTTATCCGGGTCTTCTTTTCCCGGGAGCACTATCCCATCAAATACAAATAAACTTCACCACAGTTCAGAATCGCAATACTTCAACTCGTTGTGTTGATATGAGATGCAAAATTAGTCGCATTCTGGATGAAAAAAGATTGCCTGCTTCTAGAATGCTGCAAAGTTACTGCTTCTGCTGTCAAACTCAAATTTCGTGTTCATTTTCCGTTAACTATGCTTGCTCATAGATTACGCTTTATAGGGAACCAATAGTGGTTACGATTTACGTGCGCTGTATGTGTGTGTGTTTGTGCGTGTTTGTCTGTTTGACATCAACGTGATGATGATGGACGTGGTTACCTAGTTACAGTTTATTCGTCGCATCTATTCGTGTCTAGTGTGTGTGGTGATCAAATCCGCCAGATGAGGATGAGGGTATTTAACAATTTAAACTTGATAGCAAATGAAGTGTTCGAATAGCATAGATATGCGAATTAAATGGTTCCTGGCATGTTTTCCGCTAAACCTCACTTTGTCTGGTTTAAAACCGATTCCGTTCGCTTAGACCGTCACGTTTGCGGGGAATAAGTATGGCATGTGGCAAGCTATCTCCTACCCAATTTCTTTTGGCTGCGCTCGGTTTGTTTTCTAGATCTATCTGATCAATACTATTTGACCTCATACTTGAACCCGATCAGACAACGTGTATTGTTCACCGAATCATCCGACGCCCAAAATATGCATCTTGAAAATGTGTTGCTCTGTTTTGAGTATCACAACTAACCGAGAATGCACAGAGTGCTTATGGTACTGCCCCATTTTTCCGCTATATCTTGCGAACGCGAAGGCTACGGAGTTTGGTGTGTGTGTGTGTGTGTGTGTGTGTATTGTCTCGTACGGAGATGCAAATTTTGGCTTGATGAATCTGATTTATTCGCAGCTAATGTCCATAAAGTATGTGCAAAGCTCATAGCACCGAGGTTAGAAGCATCCCATGTATCACGTTTTTTTTGCATCGATGCTCTCTGATATGGAATTAAACAAGTTTCCTATCGGGAATAATTTGTGAACAATGTTCACATCGTCCTTTGGGTGACTTTAGATATCACGTGGCAATCAGATGACTTTTATTGCTCATAAATGACAAAAACATCATCACAATAAGATTTCTGACCGTCCAAAATTCGACCGCGTCCTATTGGCTGTGCGTATCAGGCCTCAGTTCGCAGACGATACAGAGGCATCTTCCATTTGCATTCACTCTCCTCGTCAGCAATTGAAACGCGAGTCAAACAGGAGTGTGAGCAATCCAGTCAAAGTAGTTTATAAATTCAACACCGTGAAATACTTTTCTGACGTTGGTGGTATTCAAGGTGGCGTTGCGTGGTGTTGTTTGCTTTCCTTCGTGTCACACGACAGTGCCAGTAATTGAAACGCTAATCCTCACTCTCGCACACTGGATTCCCGTGACTAACATCTCACATTGTGTAGATTATCTCGGGATTACCAGTGAGCGCTAGGGCTCACGGTTGTTACGCTGCTTCTAGTGCTTTCAAGTGTTTCATTTTTATCTCTCGCTCATCTTTCATCCCGGGAGAATGTTGGACAAATCCGGATTGTAAACACTATTTACAACTGTCACAATCGGGACGTCTGGTCCTTTGTAAGACTATTCATCATTTCCCAGGAATATGATTTTTCACACTTTTGAAGTGAGGGATTTTTTTGACGTCTTCATAACGTATATCTTCTTTGTGCCTTTCATAACTTCCTTTCACAGACAATTCAGGATCAGGGAGCTGCGAATCGAATCATGTCACTTCTGATTGAACATGCGCATGATTTTTTTCAACTGGATACAGATACTATTCATTTGGAGACCGACCCTTTAAATTTTGACGTAGACGAAATCCAAAGAAAAACAAGGTAAACCCTAGTTCACGTTAGTCAGTTATTATTATCATCATCATCATCATCATCATTATCATCGCCCCCATCATCATCCTCACCTCACACTGTCGTTCAGCCATTTTCTCTCTCTCTCCCGTGAACTCCCAGCGGTCGCGTATCAGATGTTGACTACGAGGAGCACTCTTCAGATTGCGCTAGCCCCTCCCGTTCCACACTATTATTATTAGATGAGAAAGTCTGTGCTCCATTCACCGATTCGACCGCACGGTTGTGTGATCGTGAGAGTGTTTCGTCTCCGTTCACAATCCCTTACGTGAACCAACTACAGTGTGATGAATTTTCTCCCGAACTGTGTGCCGCAATCCGGGCTTGTATTGACCAGCATATATTTGGTGGCATGCAATCCGGGCAGTCGGGACCGAAAAATCCCACGTGCAGTACGGAATATTTTGTCGGTTATCCTCCTTACATTATCCGATCGGGACCATCGGTATCGGAATGCCAATCGGTTTATACAGACGAACCGGAACGGGACCCGTATGTTGTTTCAAGCATCGATATGGTGAGCACATGTTTCAAGCGATAACCTCTTTTTTGGGTTTCTCAATTAGTTTACCAATCATGGGAATGAGCGACCTCGATATATGTCTATTTCATGTGAGTAATAGAGGATTTGATTCAATTTCAAAAGTGAAATTCGTCGAGAATGTTTTCAATCGAGTCATAACCCCGGAGGCTAGTGCTGAGTTGAGCGAGGTGTGTGGATTGCAACAAGGTCGCAACAAAGGGTTGTGCTATATCATGTAACTGGAAAATGAAAAACGGTCTGATTAGCTGCTCGGTGACCGAGTGGGTAGCATGCATGCGTCCTGCCTGTGAGATCCCGGGTTCGATCCCCGGTTGGGTCGATGGATTCGCTCGCTGCTGATGAGACCCAATCAGGTCGAAACAGCTGTCCAGTGCTTCTTAGCTTTTCAGTTCGCGCTTCATTTGCCATATACACGACGAATTTTATCTTTGAAATCTGTATATTTGTTTTTCGTGGCACCCATTCTGCTATTCACAACGCAGTGTTTAGTTGAGGAAAGCAATTGTTCTGTACGCTACAGTTGATGGTTTTACCTCAACCCTTTGTTCACCTACCCGTTCTGTGATTATATATTTTTTCCATCAGTCGTCATTTCCTTTGTGGTAGCATCA